TGATTGGCTGAAGATGTTTTCTGTCCTCTGATGTGCAGCAGCTTCTCCTCCAGTTCTCCAGATGTTCTGAAGAACAAACCTCCGTTGTTGTTGTTCCTACATTAAAGTCCAAAATCTGCTAAATCCTATTTCCTGAAAAAGTCTTTAAAAATATTCTGAAAATGTCGACGTCTGTCCATAAATACCAATAAAATGTATCAAAACCTTAAAGTCTCACACACACACATCTGGAGCAGCTGTTGGTGTGTTGCTGTGTGTCGCTGCGTTAACTGTTGTGTGTCCTCTGACAGCATCTACAGTTTAAGGTGCTGGGAGGCGATAAATCAGAGCGTCAGTGAACTCAGCAGAGCACAGGAAGTGTGTGTGTGTGTGTGTGTGTGTGTTTATCGTGTGTAATGTGTGTGTGTGTGTGTGTGTCAGTGAGTGAATCATAATCTGGTCTTGGTTGAGTTCCCTTTAACAAGCTGCTGCTGCTCCGGTACACCACAGACAGAGCTCGGAGTCCTTGGGCTTCTCCAGGCGGAACCCCGAGTGCTGGTTCCAGATGTGTGTGTTCTGTGTGGCACACTCTGACCTTGTGTTGTTGACTCTGACACACTTTCTGATCAGTTGTGTGTCTGTTTCAGGATACATCCTCAGTGTGTCTCTGTCTGCTGCAGCTTTCTGTCACTCGGCAGAACCGCCTTCATGTCAGAGGGTTCTAAGTGGAACCAGGGACAGGTCTTCACAGTGATGCCATAAAAGAAATGTTTTTAGTTCTGTAAAGATCCTTTAAGCAAGAGGTTCTGTAAAGAGTCCCCGAGCTGCCTGACGGACCCATCACCGTGTTCCTTTAGGTGACCCAGAATAATAAACGGCTTCTCTCAGGAACCCGGTTCTTCTAAAACTCATTTTCCTTTATTTGGACAAATTTGTTCACGTTGCTGAAAAAGTACCTAAACAATTATCAAGACTAGTTCTCAGAACAGAACCAGGTGGGTCCGCAAAGAGCTATCGGACAGTACCTGTTGTCTGCTCGAGTTCTTTAGAGAAACTTTTTAAAAAGTGGTTCTATAAAGAACAAAGCTCTTGCACCAGAGATCGTTTTTGTGTTCTAAACCTTTGAAGAACTGTTTGAAGAAAAGGTTCTCTAAACAACCTGATATCTGGGGTTCTTTGGGGCATCATTTATAGTACGTGCATGACATCACGCGAGAACCACTTTTGGTTCCAGGTAGTACCTCTATTTTTGTGTCCATGATGTTCTGAGCGTTCTGATTTGTTGAGGTAAATCACTTCTGTTCTCCTTTGAGCTGACGTCTGAAAACTAGATGTTCTTCAGAGAACATCAAGGAACACGCGCAAGTCACAGCTGGAGACGAGTTCTGATCTGGTTTAGACTGAGAATAATGGAGGAAGCAGCAGGGCTGATCGGATCAGAACCGTCGGTTAAACTGTGAAACAGCTGATTGGCTGTGAAGTCTGGATCTGATTGGTTAATCGTCTGTGATGATGTAATCAGCAGCAGACAGTGAAACATCCAATCAATAAGCTGCCAGGGCGTCGCCTCGGTAACTGCTGCTGAGCTCCCAGCATGCTCTTTAACTGACCGTCTGTGTCGGCTGCTAATAAAGATCTGATGTTTGAACTGATCTGAGACGACACAAACCAGCAACCTTCATCATCATCATCATCATCATCATCATCATCATCAGCAGCAGCAGCAGCAGCAGCAGCAGCAGCAGGTAAACCTTCAGAGACACGTTTGTTCTCAGGTGGTCCGTCTGATCAGACCTGATCCGGATCAGAGGTGCTCAGCTGATGGACAGATGTTTCCAACAGCTGCAGTCAGATGTGATCGGCTCCATCTGGGGGAGGAAATGAACATCTGGAGGCTCAGACAGCAGCGATCAATACTCTGAGATCCATTCTCATCGAGGTTTCATGACCGCTGAAGAGTCTGATGTGGACACCATCATCTTCACAGCACGCCGTCAGCATGTTTACCTGCACCGAGGCGTCACGTGACACACGGCTTCAGACGTCCAGGCTTTGACTGGTGATCAACAGACGGCAGTGCCAGCAGTCGCTCCACCTGAGCTGCTGGAGCTGGTACCTCCTTCAGAGGAGTCATAGGAGTCTGGATGGCCTCATGTGGACCCAAGAGTGGGTCCTGATGAAAAGCTGATGTGGATGTGTACTGCCCCGTGTACTGCAGTCCAGGTAGCTTTTCCTTCACCTTTGTTTCTTTCCACAGTGGTGGAAGTGCTGGTGCAAAGCATGCTGGGAGCGCGGCGGTTTCAGGGTGGAGGTGAACCTCTGAACCGCTGAGCTGTGAAAGCAGCTGCTGGATTAAACTGAAGGTCATGTGACTGATGACATCACTCTGAGGTCATTAACACAAAGGTTTGCAGGTTAATGGGATTTAAATGTGTGTAATTATTCTGACAGCAGAGCGAACAGACCGACCGGATACATGACGGAGCAATACTCTGATACAGAGACAAGGAGGGAGGAGACAG